ACACACACGCGCATACACACACGCACACACACGCGCACACACACACAGACACAGACACAGACACACAGACACACACACACACACGCACACACGCACACACACACGCGCATACACACACGCACACACACACACACGCACACACAGACACACACACACACACGCACACACACACACACGCACACACAGACACACACACGCACGCACGCACGCACACACATACACAGACACACACGCGCATACACACGCGCACACACACGCGCACACACACAGACACACACGCTCATACACACACGCACACACACACAGACACACACACACAGACACACACACACACACGCACACACAGACACACAGACACACACACACGCCAACACACACACACACACACACGCACGCACGCACGCACGCACGCACACACGCACACACGTGTGTGTACACATACCACACATACAAATGAATAAAATATTTTTCTACAAATATGTGAGCACTTACCCTCCCCTCCCTTTTTAAAACAATTATATATGACAAGTGGTACTCTGAGAAGAAGTTGAAGCCTCTAGAAAGGATTGCAGATAGCTGTTTTTTCTGTAAATATATTTATTATCATCATTTAGAATTTCGTATGCATTCCATATATATTGGTCATATTCATCCCTCATTACCCCCAGCTCCACAGCACCCTTTCCCTCCCTCCCAACTTCATGTCCTCCTCTTTTTGTTTTTAATAACCCGCTAAGTGCAGTTTGTGCTGCCTGTGTGTACATGGGTGTGGGTATACCTGCCGGAGCACGGGCAGCCTACCAGAGATCATATCCCTGAGAAAACAGACTCTCCCTTTCCCAGCAGCCATCAGTGGTCAATAGCTTTCTAGCTGGGGGTGGGGACTTGTGAGTGCCTCCCCAGCCATGCTGAAATGTTGACTGACCGGATGTCAGGAAGTCTCGTGTGGGCATCCACAGCTGCTGTGAGTCTAGGAGACACTGTTCGTAGCAGTCTTCCCTGATTCTGGCTCTTAATGACCATATTTTCTTCTAGGCAACCTGATTCTTTTTAGTGGCTGTATAATATTCCATCATGTGCATATTCTTTTTATTTACATGGTCATCTGTTGGTTCTGCTTTATTGGATTACTATCCATTGCCTAAGGATATAATAGCCATTCAGGCATCTAGGAGAACCAGCAATTTGTGGGGTTTGATTCTAGATTAGCATCCTGAGGAAAAGGGTACCAAGAGGCTGATGGGTAAAGAGACATTTTCTAGCAGTGCTTTATGGAGGGGCAACTATGAGAGCTGGTCATATTGCTACTCTGAGTAATTGACTTATTTTTAGATCATGATAAATAAAAGATTAAAAAAAAAACCTTTGTCAAGGACAAAGGCTTTCTTAAAATGTGAAGAATTACCATAGTCAGTAGGAATTATCAATATTAACTCATTTAAGGCTACAGCTTCTTTTTAAAGCAAACATGAACTTCAGTTTTTTGTTTGTTGTATTTTGAGACAGAGTCTCTATAATTCTGCTATCCTGGAACTCACTATGTAGACTAGGCTGGCCTCTACTTACAGACTCACCTGCTTCTGCCTTGATAACAGCATCTGACACCACCTGACTAGGTTTTTTTTTTGTTTTTGTTTTTTTTTAAGACAGTCTCTCCCTATGTAGTGTTTGCTGGCTGGCTGGCTGGGAGCTTGCTGTGTAGACATGGTCTACCCCACCTGGCAACATTGGCCTTCTAATATTCATTCAGCACACTTTTATTGAACACTTATTTTGTGTGGACACTGCTATGTTTAGAGGGTATGGAGTAGACGATTCTAGCATGGAGCTTTGATTCTGGAGGGAAGTAGACACTAAAGACCACATAATAGATTCTTCCTCAAACTTCAGACACTTAGCAATTCCTTTTTGTCTTGAAAACTGGTTATCTGTGTGTGCTGTAGTCACTGACATTCTCAGAATTGAGGAAATCTGTAATATGTGTATTTATAACTTTGTGAAGTGCTTTGAGAGAACAGTAAACAGTTTCATTAAAGAGTGTGCCACAGGGGACATGTTTGAGGGCCTTGGGAAGGTT